TGATTCGTGAAGTGAGTTAGTTAGTCACAAGAAGTTACAATCAATTATTAAGTGAATTAGATTGAAGAATTTAACAATTCAAGGACTATTAAGTCAGTTACATTAGATTATTAATTATAAAGAAGAATAAAGAAGAATTTATGAGGTTATGAAGAGATTATTAGCTAGAAGAAGGCATTGATTAATTTAATGAATTAATTAAGTCAAATAAAGTTGGAGATTAATTATTACTACAGTAATATAGTGATAGTATGAAGTTAATCCATTGAAGTTGGAATCCATCCAACTGTGCAAAATTTCAAACATTAGATAGTTTTATTAATTTTATTCAAAGAATACAAAGAGGTAATATGACAAGTAATAATGATACCAATGATATTAGGATGAATAATAATAATAATAATAGAAAAAATAATAATAACTTTTAATATAATAATCAATAATAATCAACAATATAGACAATCATATAATAATAATAGATATGGTAATAATATGCAAAATTACAATAATAATAATTACAATTTAATAACAATAATAATAACAAAATAGACAAAATTTTAATAACAGTACTAATTATTACAATAGACAAAATGTTAATAACAATACTAATTATAATAGACAAGATTTTAACAATAGGAGAAATACAGAACAACCTAATTACAACACACAGGTTAATCATATACGAAGGAACAGAAGCTGCGAAGATAGATAACGAAATAGTACAAGGCAGGGAAAATATGAGTAGGTCATAGTAGTGAAAGACACAGGACATTAAAACCAAATGGTCAGACACAATAAGAGAATAATTCTAACAATCCAAATTTTATGTAGTAAACTTTCTGAATTACAAGTGTGGTCATTGTCATTATGAGAAACCTTCTGAATTTATTTCTTTAGATGAAGATTAAAATTATTGAATCTATTAATTTAATTTATATAAATGCTATGGCCAAAAATAAAATGATTAAGGTTATGATAGATACTGGTTCAGAAAGTACTTTAGTCTCGGAAAATTTTATTTTTAATACATTGAAACTATCAATATAATGAAGATTCCAAAAATTAAAATAGTTGGTGCAAATAATAAGAAGTTGGGTTGGTTTATTGTCAAGGATTTATGTGTTGATATATTAATGGGAAATGATGAATTGGAAAAGAAGAAAGTGAAGATAGATTTTGAAGAAAAAATTGTAACTTTGGAAGGGCAAATAATTAAGTTTATGCAGAAAGATGAGGAGGAAGAAGTAATAAGAATTGATAGGATATTATTAAAAGAAAGTAATAATGTTTATGAAGAAGAAATGTATTTTGATAATAGGGAGATGTCCCAAAATAATGTAAAGAATAATTGTAATGAATATTTAAGGAATGGAAAAAAGCAGATGGATGCCTACGAGGCGGAGTGCGTAAAACTGGAAGCAAGGAATAATGATTACATAATGAAAAATAATTTTATTTGTAAAGAAGAGGATATGATAAAAGTTTTAAGTTGCCCTGAAGAATATAAATCAATAGTCGTTTCCATATTGCAGCAACACAAGGGACTTGTTAATAAACAAAATAGAATTGCATACAATTAAATTCATAGTATAAAAGTAAAAGAAGAACAAGATTTTAAAACAAAATCGTACCCAATACCATATAAATACAGAGAAGAAGTAAATAGAACAATTAATAATATGTTAGAAGATGGAATCATTGAGAAGGCAGATACAGTTTCATTAACCCTATATTGGTAGTACGAAAAAGATCAGGTGAAATCAGGCTATGTTTGGATGCAAGGAATATTAACAAGATCACTTAAAAGCAATTTGAAGCACCAATGAGCATAGATGGAATACTAGGAAGAATTACAGGAATATTATTTTTCACTAAATTCGATTTACAGCATAATTTCTGGTTAATACCTCTAGAAAGAAAAAATAGACAGTATACAGGATTTCAGATAGATGGAGTAGTATATCAATTCAAAGTAGTACCATTTGGACTTCAATCATCGTGCAGTACTCTATGTAGATGTCTTCATGATATTTTGGATCAATATGAACAATTTGTATTTCACTACATTGATGATATTAATTTTTCAGACATACAGAAACAACACATCATAACAATTTATATAATGAGTATATATATAAACATACATACTCATTAAACTAGATGGCAAACCACATAAACTTCAAGCATAAATATCATACAAGTTTACGTGCCAACCAGCACATCAGATGACATAAAGATCGAGGAGTTCTACGAAAAACTGGGGACCACAATCGCTAACATACCAAATAAACAACTTACTATAATATGTGGCGACTTTAATGCAAAAGTTGGCAACACTACACAAAATGACGACTTAAAGAATGTACTGGGAAAGTTTGGCATAGGGCAGAGAAACGAAAGAGGAGACCGTTTAATCGAATTTGCTATCACAAACAACTATTCTATATGAATACTCCATTTAAACACCATGTACGTCGACTTTGTACTTGGAAAAGTCCTGGAGATAAATTTAGAAATCAAATAAATTACATCCTCACCAATATTCGCTGGAGGTCGTCCATTCAAACAGTCAGATCATATCCAGGGGCGATATGCGGATCCGATCATACTCTCCTTGTAGCTAAAGTAATGCTTAAACTTAAAGCACCCAACAAACAAAGAGAGATAAAGAGGATAGAACTAAGAAAGAAAGACGACCTTCTACAGGAAGTACAGAAAAGTATGCCCTCTATTCGTAACGGAACATCACAAGAAATATGGGAGACTATTAAACACTGCGTAACAACACCAGTGGATCGCTCAAAGAAAAATAATCCGGTGAAACGGAAACACTGGATAACAGATGAAACTCTTAAAGTAATTGAGAATAGAAGAAATCTTTGTAAAAGTGGTGTACATAGTGAAAGGGAAAAAGCTAGTTTAAGAAACCTCAATAAAGAAATAAAACGAAGATGTAAGGCCGACAAAAAACAGTACTATCAGTAAAGTATATAAGCAAAGAAATTGAGAGACATGGTCAGAATAATCAGCCGAAGAGATCTATTTAGAAAAATACGCTACCTGACAAGAGACTTCAGAGCCAGAACTTGGGCCATTGAAGATAACACTGGAACCCTGAGAACAAACAGAGAAGACATAGCAGAGACATGGAGATCGTATTGCAGGGACCTATATAAAGATGATCAACGCCAAGAGCTTGTTAGCAAAATCTCTGACGAGGTGGAAGAAGAACATGATATACTCGAAAATGAAGTAAGACAGGCTATCAACAAGCTCAAATATAACAAAGCACCAGGTCCAGATATGATAACAGCAGAAATGCTTAAAGCCACAGAAGAAACCGGCGTAAAGTTACTTCATCTACTCTGTAACCAAATATGGCATTCCAAACAATGGCCTGAAGACTGGACAAAATCCACAATAACGACCATACATAAAAAAGGCAGCTTCCATAAATGCGACAATTATAGAACTATCTCTTATATCCCATGCCAGCAAGATAATGCTACATATAATCAATGAGAGACTGAAAACCTTCCTTCAAAGAGAAATTCCACAAGACCAAACTGGATTTACCAAAGGTAGAGGCACTCGAGAACACCTGCTGAATATAAGACAGATAATCGAGAAATCTAGGGAATTCAACATCCTACTATACATCTGTTTTATAGATTACCGTAAAGCGTTCGACAGGGTCAAGTGGAGACACTTATGGCGAATACTAAAAGAAGTAGGCGTACCACAACATCTAATTACGCTTATAACTGAACTATATGAACACACTACTGGATCAGTTAAAGTACTTGACACACTTTCGAACGAGTTTCATCCAGAACGGGGTGTCAGACAAGGATGTATACTATCTCCACAATTATTCAACATATATGGGGAGTATATTATGCGAAGAGCACTTGAAGGATGGGAAAAGGGCATCTCAATAAATGGTCATAAACTAAACAACCTACGTTTCGCAGATGACACAGCCCTTCTTGCAAATAGTCAAGCAGAGCTGATGGAACTTATACGACTGATCGAAAACGAAAGTCAAATATTTGGTCTGCAATTAAACATATCAAAGACAAAGATCATGATAGTGGATAGACTACACAACAATCATCCACACATAACCACAATTGACCGGTTCGAGGTTGTGAGCTCATACTTATATCTGGAATCATTAATCACAAACACAGGGTCATTACAAGAAGAGATTAAACGTAGATGTGATCTAGCAAAAGTTGCCACAACAAAAATGACCAAAATATGGAAGGACTGTCAAATTTCAAGAGCGATAGAGAGATGAGGTTGATCAACTGCTTAATATTCCCAATACTGACCTACGGATGTGAATCTTGGACTCTGAGACAATCGGAGAGAAGAAAGATAGACGCCACTGAAATGTTCTGTTGGAGACGAATGTTACGAATTCCTTGGACCGACCGTAGAACAAATAATTCAATTTTAAGAGAGCTAAAATTTAGCCAACGACTCTCTAGTAAAGTCCATCTCCAACAATTAAAATATTTTGGGCATGTTATGAGAGCAAACAAAGAAAACATGGAAAGACTCATAATACAAGGAAAGGTAGAAGGCCGAAGATCACGAGGAAGATTCCCAACAAGATGGATAGATCAAATTACAGGAATATGCCAAAGACCTATGCATGAATTAAAAGAAATGACCAGAGACAGAGATCTCTGGAGACGGACAATACACGACATCACGTCGACCACTACACTCCCCCTGGGGGTCAGGATTAAAGATATATATATATATAATATATATATATATATATATATATATATATATATACATAATTAAAAATTAACTTTATAAATAAATAAATTTATAAAAAAAATTAATTAACTGTTAAAAACTTAAAAACTTTGCCAAATAATAATTTATAATTATAAATATAATTAAGTAATAAAATTCGAAATACTTAAAAATAATTTAAGAAATATTAAACTTAAAACTAAACTAAAAAATCTCTTTTCTAGTGTTGGACGCTACATCCAAAATGCCCGTAGGTTTATTGTCATATAATTTTGGAGAGATGGGAAATTTCAAGCAGTGTACCGAGATAGTATCCCAAAGAGACCGCGTCAAGGGTAAATACTGTTTGGGGAATGTTGTTATAAACACCACTGCAATTGATTATTCCGCAATAACCAGGAATTACGTAAGTAATTATGGATGTAGTGAGTAATTTCACAAAAATAATTTTAAGCTTTCATTAATCAATAATCTCGTGTTTTTTAAGAATAGTCAATTTTTTTGTAGCCTATTTATCTTTTATTAATATTTTTATTATTCTTGTTTAAAAATCATTTAATTAACGTTTAGTTAGAGGCAGAACTATATGGCTTAAAATAAATATTAGCTTCCTTTTTCTAGACAATTATTTTCTTTTTTTTTATTTAGTTTACTGAGTCTAAGCTACAAGGTTATTGCCACTGGGCTTCTTTTATTACTATACATTTTACATTACATAAGATATAATTTACAATAAAACCAATATATAAAAGAGAAAGTAATATAAAAGAATACAATAAATTTTGTAATATAGGTTCGTTTCTCAAAGTAAATCTAGTATATTTTGAACAAGTTCTAATTGGCTTAGGATAACATTTTTTGTAAGACCTTATACAGAGTATTTTTTTGTTCTTGCTCGTATTTGACACACTGTGTAAGAATACGTTGAAGGGTTAATGATTCACTACACTTTCCTGTGATTTCTTCGAAGCCATCAGGTTTTCATGTGTCAACCGTGTATGACCAATTCTCAGCCTGCGAATGATTCATTTGTCTCTTCTATTTAAGTTAGGTAGCTAAAAGGTTTCGATGGTAGGTTGTATTTTGTGTAATTTCGAGGATGAATTCTTCCATTCGTTTTGCCAGAAATTCTTGATTTGGAACCTGAAAAGTGATTTTATATCTGATGCTAGTTGAACAGATTTATTGTCTGATTTGGTTGTAATTGCTTTTTTGCTTTTTTAATGCTTCTAGGATGGCGTACAGCTCTCCTGTATAAGGCAGAACTTTTAAATGATACTATTTGAAGTTGTTACAGAATATCCGATACCTGTCTTAGTTTTAGATGCATCTGTGTCCTGTCATATGAGTTTGAGTTGAGCAGCTTTAGAAAACACTACTTTAGGATTTAGCTGTTGGTTTCATTTTTGTGATAATTATTAAACAAAAGTTAATTTTTGGTATGTTAATATTCCAAGGAGTAGTTAATGACAGTATATAAGTATCATCATCAGTATATGAGCATCATTTATTGTTAGGCTTACAATTATAGTGTTTGTAGAATAGCTGATATATAGGGTAGTTTTGATTTGAAGACACTCTAGCAAAGTATTTCAGAAGAAATGAAATCGTAGGCTTCCACGGCCAGAGTCAGAATTATAGTTTATTTGTCTTCCGGCTTTGAACCGTGTCATTTGTGAGTGGCCCAAAAGTGGGTTCATCTCGACGTTTCGCTACAATTGTATGTAGCTTCTTCAGGAGAACAAAGAAAAAGAAATCAAAAGACAGGTCCTGTCTTTTGATTTCTTTTTCTTTTGTAAAATATGTCGAAGTTTTTGTTTTTAACGTATAATTCGTCCTTTTATCTAACAGTTAGTGATCTTAAGGTTTCCCCCAAATAAAAATTGAGGTATTTTATAGATGCAGTTCTTTGATTTCAGCTCTGCGTTGTTTGGATTAGTTGTTAATAGAATAGATCTCACTGTGTTGTTTATTTCCCTTTTTTTATTTTCCTCATAAACTTTTTACATATGGGATTATTGCCATCGTCAAATACCTTGTAGTGAGCATTTTTGTACTGATTTTGCTGTTATGGCATTTCCTATTGTTAATCTTGTGATAATCCCTGTTAATAAATTACAATTGATAATCACTTCTTGTTAACACCCCTGTAAGTAGGTTTTTTTGTTCCTGAAATGCATTTTCGTTAAAGCAGGTGTTTTGGGCTCTATTATATCATGATTTAATAATTCTCTTTTTGATATGTTGTGTTTTAAGTAGTAATTGAAATATCTATTTGATGTTGGTTTTTTGTAGACTGATTGAAAATCCTGTATCCTCCTTTGTGATTAACACATTTAGAAAAGGTAGTAAGTTGTCGTTTTACTTTTCATGGTAAATTTAATTGATTCTTTTTCACTGTTGTAAAATGTCAAAACAAAACATCAAAACAAAGTAAAAGGTAATTTTTATTGCAATCAATTGTAAATTATTTCGATATAAATACAATATTTAGAATAAATGATGTATTTGACGTTTTGAAATTCAGATAAGAACCTGTTGGCATAATGTAATTTTTTATTGACGAAACTATCTTGTTTTCTTATATTGCTATTTTTAATCAAGCTTAATAGTTTTTGTAGTTTTTGAATGGGTACATATTTTTCTTTTATTTATTTTCGTTTCATCATTCTGCCATGATAATCTTTCATGACGCAATCAAATTTATTTTGATTTTTACTTTTTTTATAATATCTGCTGGTTTTTGCCAACTAGTATTAATTTATATTGTTCTGAAGCTATTTTCTTGTGGCATTGTAAATTAATTACTATTTATAACTGGGAATAAGCCACAATTAAAGATAAAAAATACGTTTATTGACGTTTCAATTTCCAATTCGGAAAATCGTTCTCAAAATACAAACAGTAAAATTAAACAAATTTTGTTTTTTGTTACATAGTGAAAAAATTCTTCTAATAATTTAATTTTATCTGACTCATTTATATTGACAATTCAGACATATATTATGCATTTTAAAGTAGACGACTTTAAAATGATATTGCCAATATTGTTGAGTTGCGCTCCTGGGACGACTTTACTATAAGATAGTTCATTCGATTACATGAAATCAACTTTAACTTGAGAATATCCGTCAGAATATCTGACGGATAGTATATGTTACTTGGATGGTTTATCGTCAGTTGTCATCTTTATTCGCCATTAGCTTAGTTTTACTCAGATTCATTTTCAGTCCTTTTTTATGGATTCCGTATGAAGCTTATCCATCATCGCCTTCAGTTCTTTCTAGCTGTCGGCTATTAGTACTACGTCATCTGCATATCTTAGATGGTTTAAATACTTCCGTTTATCGATAGTCCTTCGTTTCCCAATTTAGTGATTTAAAGATGTCTTTAAGTGCGGCAGTAAATAGTTTTGGAGATATGGTGTCTCCCTGTCTTACTCCTCGGTTGATTTTTATTGGCCTCGTTTTCATTCCGTTATCCATCGTGACTACCATTTCAGCGTGTTGATATATATTATGTATTAATATCCTATATCTAAAATCTATTCTGCTGTTGACCAGTGCTTCCTCAATAGCCCATAATTCTATGCTGTCAAAAGCTTTCTCGTAGTCTAAAAATGTTAAACAGATTGGTAAATTGTATTCGTTAACTTTTTCTATGAGGACCTTTAGTGTGTGAAGATGGTCACATGTACTGAACCCTTTTCTAAATCCGGCTTGCTCTACTGGTTGATATACATCGAACTTTGTTGTCAATCTATTTGTAATTATTTTTGTGAATGTTTTATAAAGTTGTGATAGTAGTGATATTGGACGATAATTTTTTTGATCTGTATTGTCCCCTTTTTTGTGTATTAATATTGTGATAGCAGTATTCCATTCCTTTGGTCTGTTTCCTTCAAACAGGCATTTATTAAAAAGTATTTTTAGGTACCTGATGACTTCTTCTCCGCCTTCTTTCAACATTTCTGCCAGAATTCCATCACTACCCGGTGCTTAATTTCTTTCCATTTCTTTAATTGCATTTTCTATTTCTACTTCGCTTATTTCGGGCATTACTTCAGAATTTAAGTTTGTTATTTGTCTTTTCCGATTTTGCTTTGAAGAGTCGGGGGGATCGTTTCTTGAGCGGTATAACTCAGTATAGAAGTTTTCAACTATGTTTGATATCTGAGCTTTGCTTGTTTCTAGTTGGCCTTGTTGATTTTTCATAGTTATAATATTTTTCTTTTCTAATTTCGGTTTGGTATATTCCAGACTTCGATTTTTCTTTATCACTCTTTCTTCATGTTCTTGTTGATGTTTTTTAATATCGTCTTTTATCTGTTTCCGTATGGCTCGATTAAGTTCTTTGTATTCTGTGGTATTTCTTTTGTTTAGTGACAGGAGCTCTTTTCGTTGTTTCAGCATATTCTGTTTCAGCATGACGAAGGTGTTCACACCTTCCAGTTCTAGATCATCAATTAATAGTCTAAGTATCTGGTTGCCTGATCTAGTACAATACATATTCTTGGTTTTCTGTGCGTTTATTTTTAATCCCATTCCCAGTGCAGACGCCCTTAATAATCGATGGTGCCATTCGTATTAATATGGCACTCTCGAATTACTTTTTCTAGCGCAAGGTTAGAGCAAATGTATCATAATCTCATGTATCATAATCATATAATCAGTGGCGCACCCAGGAGGGGTTTTGTGGGTTAAACCCTTCCCCCAGGACCCTATTCCGACACTGTTATTTACAAATTTTAAGGACTTAAAATGGTGAAGGTAGCATAAAAAAATTTCGATGCCCAACCAAACCCCCCCCCCCAGAGGACAATTCTAGGTACGCTACTGCATATAATGTATAGCACAAAGGTATCGTAATACGAATAATTAATTAGCTTGCCCACTAGGAGGTGGAAGCTAGTAAAAAAATACACCGACGTCTGAAGTGCACTCATGCCCCCACTCTTAATACGTATATTTATCGTAATAAGCAAAATCCCCCCTCCCTTTTATTTATGACGTAGGTTATGTATGGTCCCTTAGCTGATTAATATTATTGAATTTTTACCTATTTTATATCAAATCTGCCAAAAACTTCAACGGAATAAGCAAAATTTAAAAATACATAAACAATAACATACCTTTTACTTGATAACTGCCATAAAAATAATTATCATCTTTTAGGCATATGTAAAGCGCTTAATTACTAAAATATCAGACGGAGTCCACATGGTAGGTTATCCGACATGGGCGATATGTCTGCCCAGTAACTGTACAGATGAGGATGCAAAGTACGTAATGGGCAAATCTCAAACTCTTGGAACTGGAATAGATTCCGTAATATGTCAGACCATTGAAGATGTTAATCCGCCTTTGGACAACGCTGCAATTATTGGAATGTAAGTATCTGAAAAGAGATTTAAAAACCTACTATAGTTTTTTATTTCTAGTGATATACTCAAATTAAACATTTTTATAAGCTTATTGAAAATTAAGATTAAGAATAATTAAAAAGTATAATTCTATTAATAACGGATTAAATGCTGAAAATTTTGTTTTTAACTCTTTGGGCAATAATATTAAAAACAATTATTTTATATAGGGTGGGCTTAAATCAGTCCACACGGACATTTGGCAATAATAATTAGAATTTTTAGTGTTTAGAGGAGATGAGCACCAAAGAGGTGTTGTTTGGTATTATTGTATTAACGCAAAAATATTTGGATATGAATCAAGACCTATATGTATGCTTTATAGTCTTCGAAAAAGCTTTCGATAAAGTCCAACATCACAAACTCATAGAGATACTCACAGGCATGAACAACAAAACAAAACAACATACAACAAAAGTTAAAGTAGATAATCAGCTCTCTGAGGAAGTAGACATTTTGAGCAGCATTAGGCAGGGTTGTATTAGTTCTCATCTTCAATTTAATTTATACAGTGAATATTTTTCACAAAACACTTGAAGATATATTAAGCTGATCGTGTACAACCTGTGGATTAAAAACTGTCATTTCAAAGAGAGATAAAGCCCCAGGTGATATTATTATAAGCAATGAGCAGATAGATAAAGTGAAAAGGAGTAAATGTTTTGGATAGATCGTTGGCCGAAAGTAGATCCGCTACATAAAATAAAAGTCTGAATAAAAATTGCAAAAACAAATTTTTTAACTTTCCTTTATGCACCAGAGGCTTGGACACTCAGGAAAACTGAAATGGGTAAACTTGGTCTTTTGAAAGATGATATTACCACCCCATGTTGAAATTTTTATGAACTGGTGAAAGTAATGAATGTAGAACTTTTACAGAGAACGAAATAAAGCGAAGAAATATCTGAAAGCAAAACCTTAAATACTTTGGATACATCATTAGGGACATAAATACGTAATTTTGCAAAACATAAAGTCAAAAAAAATTAAAGATAAATGAAGCTAAGCCTGGAGTAGGACATCATGGCTTATGAACTTGCTGGATTCTTTTGACTTACAACAATTGAACTATTTAGAACAGCGGTATATAAACTTAGATTGATTTTTATTCCGAAGATTTTTAGTCCTTTACAGTGAACGGCTAAATTATTGAATCTTATATTATTTTAAGAACCGTCGAGTTTTGAGGGAAATCCCGAAATAGGTTGATTTTTGTTTTAAAATACCCATCTTATAACGTACATGGAGTAGGGATGACGTCACCGTTGTGGATGTAGTGATGTAATCGTTAATTTTTTTAAATAGAAATCGATATAATGCAACACCTCATTTGAAGGAGAATTTATTTCTCTATTTAACGACATTACATTTTTAACTGAAATATTTTTTTAAGGATAGAAAAACAATTTTTTAAATTTAAATTCAACTAAATTACAACTTATTATTTAATTAATAATGTACTTTAAAGTAACCAAATTATGCATAATAATTATTTTAATTAAATGTTCGAAATGCCATCCATCGGTTTCTTGACAATATGTAAATCTACGGATACATTCATTAAGTACATTGCGGATGACTTCTGGAGTAATAAGACTCATTTCATGTCTAATTCTATCTTACAAGTCCTGTAAGTTTTGGGGTCAATTGACATAAACTTTAGATTTTATGTAACTCGACAGGAAAAAGTCTAGAGGTGTTAGATCTGGCAACCTTGCTGTTCACTCTATAGAACCTCGTCTTCCGGTCCACCTCCTGGAAAAGCAATGATTTAAAAATGGAACTACTTCACGTGCGTAATGCGAAGGGGCTCCATCTTGTTGAAACCAGATATTTTCACTAGGTAAATTTGGATTTTTGGCATTTGGATACATGTTAGCAAGGACAGGTATAAGTCGATTTCTCAAAAAAGTTAAATAACGTTCTCCTGTTAGATTTTCTTCAAAGAAAAAAGGGCCAATCATTCTGTCACTATTGATCACTGCACATACATTTACTTTCTGAGGATATTGCGTGTGTGACTCAGTCATCCAATGTAGGTTTTCTTAACTCCAATATCTGCAATTTTGACGATTCACGGTACCATGTATAAAAAATGTGGCTTCATCGAAAAAAAAAGGATTTGCTTGATGAAATGTGGATTGCGGATACATAAATCCTGCATAATTTCAGAAAATTAAAGCCGGCGATCGGGATCGTCATCGTTTAATTTCTAATGTACTTGAATTTTGTAGGGATGGTATTTTTCTTTTTTAAAATACATAATACCAATCGTTGGGAAACTAATACACCAAAGGTATCAAAATCACATCAAAGAGTGTCAATACATATTAGAAAAGATTGTAACGGCAAAGATAAGAATGGGACAAGGAAAACCTTAACATTATCGGAGTATATGGCCCAGAAAATAACAAGCCTCAAACAACAAGGAACACGTTTTATGACCAATTACAACAAGAAGTAGATCAAGTCAGACGCAAAGTGATAATATCGATGGATTTTAACGCTCGAATAGGCAATTAAGTAATACCCGGAATTAAGCAAAAACATAACGAGAATGTTAAAAACGAAAATGGAGAACTGATGATCAACTTTTGCACGAATAGCGAACTTAGAATAAATAAAACATTTTTTGACCACAAAGAGCAACACAAATATATATTTATTAATACCCGTGGAAAAAAATCTACGATAGATTATGTTATAGTTGACAGAGATATTACATCCAAAAAATTATCGAAGTAAAATGCCTCAACTCAGCAGATATAGTTAGCAACCATAGCCTAGTATTATGTAAAATAAAAATCATCTTGAAATACTTTACAACCAAGATAGGAGCGCTAACACAAATCTCGCTAAAATCACGCTAAAATCAAAGTCGAAGAACTAAATACATAATCCCCGATATACTTATACAGAAAACTCAAAAATAACATAGTAAACGCAGCAACAGAATCACTTGGAGAGGAAAGTAAGGAACACTAACATATCAAAAAAGAAAACACCTTGGTTTAGAAAGGAAGTGAAGACAAAAATTTAAAGTAAAAAAGTATTTAGTATTAAGCATTTTTAAAATACAGAACACAACAAATACAACAGGCATAAACCACTTTAAACGAATCAGAAATGAAACAAATAATTCAGTTAGACAAATAGAAAGGGAACACTGGCAGAGCTTCTCGAAACAGACAAAACACGACTTCTATGGAACACAAAAAGAAATAAGGACAGAGAAAAATTATGAACAAAGAAATAAAAACGAAACAGATTTAAAAGGAAACATGGGCAGAATACCTTCGATCTCTATTGACTAAAGGTGAAGATAATGAACCACCAGCACAAGAGGTGGCGACAAATGAAATAAAAATTTTGATGAGGAAGAGGTAAAGCAAGCATAAGAAAATTAAAAAATAAAAATCACCAGAAGAGGACAGAATACTGAACGAATTCCTAAAGTACGGAGGACCAGATCTGACCAAACAACTTTTATGTCTGTTTCAAAAGTAATAGAACAAAACATAATTCCTCAAGAAAGGAGATCAAGCATCCTAATACCTCTCTTTAAAAAGGGAGACAAATTGGACTCGGAGAAATTAACAAAGTAATTTTTTTAAACACAACACTAAAATTAACAACGAAACTGATAAAAAATAAACTGAATAAAATTATATCACTAATAGAAGAACAACAAGGTTTAAGGTCGAAAAGATCATGCACCGCCGCTTTATTTATTTTGAGACAAGTGCAAGAGAAAAGAGACCTTAAGCTATCTTTATTAGAATCTATATAAATTAACAAATTAAAAAACACAGATATAATTCTGAATGATCAACTTGAAACAAACGGTTCTTCCCTTCTCAACATATTCAGTTAAAGACTATAAGGTGTAAACACATACCAAAAATAGATCACTTAAAAAAGGCACTTTGCCAAACAGCTGTAATGATAATAATTTAAAATAAATGTTGTAGAAGTGTTGAAAAGAAAAGCTTTCAGTATTTTATTGTTATATAAAATGAATTTTCAAAGTAACGGTCAAATACATCACTTTCCTATTGTTGTTAAAGAGTTGTTTTAGTCTTGTTGTCTTAGATACCTAAATACTCTATCAAAGTTCCTCTCTAATGATGTCCCATGTCTAACTATGTATCTATTTATATATATTTTTTATTTCAGATCAATTTTGAGTGTTCTAGTCGTGATCGTTATTATGTCCACTATTTACGATATATATTGTCAAAATATACATAAAGGTAAGTACATAAATACTAGTACAATAAAATGTATCTGCTTTTGTCCAGTAAAGTGTAGTAGAAAAGATACGAAGATTCCTTTTGGTATTTTTTAAATATTTTTTGTATATTTTTGTAACCTATTTACTATTTATATTAAATTGTTGATTCTGCTTCACATATGTTATTGTGTGGAGATAATTTTACAATCTTATTTACACGATCTACGAAAATTGTCAATGCGAACTAAAATTTCTAGTTCAAAAACTGGAAAAGTTTCCAAAATGCCGCTTTGATACTTTTATTTCTTCACATTCATTCATATTGATTCACGTATATATATATATATATAGATATATATATATATATAATATATATATATATATATATATATAAAGATAGTTGGAGTCAATAAAAGGGGCTATTTGTTAATATTTTTTACTCGAGCTTTCAATTGTGTTTACAATCATTATCAAGAGCTGCTAAAAAAATATAAAGCATCTTACAAAGTTGAACTAGAAAGAAAAAATTTTTGTTAACTCACCAAATAAAATTAGTGTGGTATATAAAAATGTTGCTAACATATTTCAAAAAATATCAATATACAAATGTTCTAATCTAATAAATGCTTCTCTGAAATTTTAATATAATTTTGAAAAAGTTTCTTAGTACAAAAATGATTAAATTTATAAATAAATTTGAATATTGACAATTACAAATAAGCCCCAATGTCATAAATACCAACTTAAAAATTTTTATTTTTGGCAATTATATCGCCAAAAATAAAATTTTGTTTAAAAATTCTTTTTTATTTAGTAATAAGAGAGATTTATTCATCATTGATAGATGCCTGAAAATATGTAACAAATACATGGAAAATTAAATCAAAATGTGATATTTTACTGGTTTCATATAAACTACATAGAAATAATATAATTATAAATTTTGCTTGGATTTTGAATTTGTGACCTTTTGTTTAAATTATTATCACTTTTGCTAATGCAAACCATTTCCAAAAAAGTTCTTTTGAGAAATTTATAATTTACAGAAATCTAATATGTATTTGCGATTTGAAAGATTTCTTCCGGTCTCGCCAACATACTCAGCTTCACACTGTATACAACTAATGCGGTATACTACATTTTTTTTATCTAATTTGTCTATAGGATACTTAGTTTTGGTATATAAAGATGAAATGGTTTTGATGTTCTTTGTTGCTATTTTTATATTGTCAATAACCTTTATTGTTTGTATTAATTTATGTGTTAATGATGGTATAAAAGGTAGTGAATGATAATATATGTTTTGATTGTTGGATACAATGTTCTGAGATTTAGCAAAAAATGGTGTTATTTTAAAAGTTATTTATATTAATAATATTAGAAAAAAGCATCCTATGTAGCATATCTAGAGGATAAGAGTTTTCAATTAAAATATTTTTTAATAATTGAAGATCTTCTTGTAAATAATTTTAATGAGAAAGCTTTCAAACACGTTCTTTTATACACGTTACAAGGTTCATTTTCATCTTATTGGGATGATAAGAGTAATAGCTTATAAATCTATTACTACATATGGGTTTTCTGAACCATCTGGTTTTCAACATATTGTCTGTATTTCTTACAATTTTTATGTCAAGGAATGGTAGAGAATTATCTACCTCTTGCTTAACTGTAAATTGTATATGTTGATTAGGATTGTTGAAAATGTTGACTGTTTCAAGAATTGTGTGTTTAGGCAGTGCCAAAACTAAATAATCTACATATCTTTTAATAATAATAAAAAAGTGCAATTGTTGATACAATCACTGATAACATCATGCATGACATAACTACTTAGAATGGGTATCCAATTCCAAATCCATATTATAGATTTTGATAATATTAAAATTTTATGTAGTGAAAGTAATAAATTCAAAAGAACTTTTTTGCAAATGGTTTGTATTAGCACAAGTGATAATCATTTAAACAAAAGGTCAGAAATTAAAAATCTTAGCAAAGTTTATAATTATACCATGTATTTGTTACATTTTTTCAGGCATCTATCAATGGTAAATAAATCTTATTTTTTATTACTGAACAAAAAAGAATTTTTAAACAACATTTTATTTTTTTGCAATATAATTGTCAAAAATAAAAAATTTTATGATGGTATTTATGACATAGAGGCTTATTTGTAATTGTCAATATTCAAATTTATTTATAAATTCAATTGTTTTTGTATTAAGAAACTTTTTCAAAATTATATTAAAATTTCAGAGAAGCATTTATTAGATTAGTACATTTTTATATTAATATATTTTGAAAAATGTTAGCAGCATTTTTATATACCAAACTAATTTTATTTGGTGAGTTAACAAACTTTTTTTCTTTTTAATTCAACTTTTTGATGAGATATTTTGTATTTTTTAGCAGCTAAATCTACAAACAATAGGTGGGTAGATCGAATTTATGTTAAATTGTGAAATATATGTCCTGCTCACATTAAATGGACAAAATTGTGCGTATTTTATATTTAAGAGCGTTTTTCATATAGTTTTTTGCAGTTCACTGTAAGTTAAATCAATTTAGAAAAATAATTCAATCAAAATTGATATTAATCGGATATATTCATGAAATGAAATTAAAATCGATTTCAACAATTCTCGAATGCTGATTTTTTCACTTCAAAGTTTCCCTAGCGAATCTTTTATGGATTTTATTATTAAGCATCAAATTTTTAGAGAGACACACTGCTGAATGTATTCCATTGAATGGCAGAAAAGAGGAATCGCCAGATGCACATATTTTTATTTTGTTATTCAACCAATTTGATCAAATCATCTCGGCAGAAATTTTTCGAAATGGGCAAAATCAATCCAATGATTGGAATAATTTTGTAATAACTTTTCCTTTAAATTTATTTTAGTTTGTGGCGTAGCAACGCGCGCATCGTACAGATAGTTATCTAATAAAATATATTAAAAAAAACTTACCAAAAACTTTCGATCAGTACGTATTGCTAATTTTCTTCTTCTTCTTCTTTTTATAAGCAAAAGGTTTGTTCAATGTCGATTAAAACCTCTATTGGAGGTTATTACTCCATCTTTTGCGTGGTCGCCCGATACTTCTTCTACCTCTTGGTGATTTGTCCCTCGCCATTCTGACTAATCGGGGTCTCTTCCATTCTGTTTATGTGTTCTTTCCATTCCTTTTTTTGTTCAGTGGTCCACTCATTTATTTCTGGTATATTGCATTTTCTTTGATCTCTTCACTCTCATTCGATCCCTCAGTGTGTTTCCTGTAATCCTCCTCAGTAAACGCATCTCCGCTGTTTCTAGTAGTGGCTGAGTTTTAAAGGTATCCGGTCTTGTCTCTGAAGTGTATGTCATTATTGGTCTTATTGTTGCTTTGTAGATTCTTGATTTCACGTCGGTATTAATGTGGGGATTGCGCCATATTGTGTTATTCAGACAACCTGCTATTTTATTAGCCTTTTGTACTTGATTTTTTCACTTCCTTCTCCACATCTCCGTAGCTAGACAGTGTAATTCCTAGGCAATTTGTCTCCATTACTTGCTCAATGCTGATACCGTCGATTTACAGTTTACATCTAATTGGTTCTTTACTGATTACAATTGATTTAGTTTTCTGTGTAGAGATCACCATATTAAAGTCCTTTGCCTTGTGTTGAATCTATGGGTTAGTCTTTGTAGATCGTCTTCATTGGATGCAATTAGGGGCCGCATCATCTGCATAGCAGAGTATTCTGATTTATTTGTTCCCCATTTTGTATCCTCTTCCTTTATTAATAGTATTGATGATTTCATCCATGATAGATTGAATAGCGTTGGACTAAGCGAGTCTCATTGTCTTATTCCATTGCCCATATCTATTGGATCTGTAAGCTGGTCATCTATTCTGACTTCCATATTGTTGTTCTGGTATATGTTCTCTATTGTTTTTATAACATCTAGTGGAATTTCTCCATCGTAAAGAAGGTGAATTACATCTTTGAGCTTTACTTTATCGAACGCTTTCTTCAGGTCTATTAGACATATGAATGCTGATCTGTTATACTCTAGTGCTTTCTCGGTAATCTGTTTTATGATGAATACTGCATCTGTGCACGATCTTCCTGTGCGAAAACCCTGCTGTTCATCCGCTAAGGTAATTCTCTGATTTATTTGGCCTTGCAATATTTTGGTTGTAAGCTTCAAAGTGGTGTTTAATAAGTTGATACCTCTGTAGTTTTCAGGTTGTTTTTTATCTCCTTTTTTGTATATAGGATAAGCTTGCTTTTTTTCCACTCTTCAGGTATTTTATTATGTTTGATGAATTTTAAAATATGAAACTAAAACATGGTCTTTAAACAACAACATAGTACACAAACTTCAAGTGACTCATAGAGCTATGGAACAAAAATGCTGAATATTAAGCTGAGCGATCGCAAATCCAATGAAGAAATAAGAAGACGTTTAAAAAACAGACGATTATAGAACCAAAAAAATGCTATGTGACAATGGAACTAGGTAAGACACGTAAGGAGAATGAAAGACAATCGTGGATAAAACAAATTGTTAAATGGCGAACAAGAGCAAAAAAAGTAAAGGTAGAACTCAGACCAGATGGACTGATGCCATCAAGTACTAGCTGGTCACGAATAGATTGCTAAAAGCAAAGAACATAAATGAATCGACTCACCTAAAGGAGGCTTTCATCTGATGACGAATGGAAAAGCTGCTGATAATGATATTAAAAAATACTGTGGAGAGAATAAGAAATGTCGACAGGTCCTAACCTGGACAAAGAAGTTTTAAAAAGCTATTTAAATAAATCTTTAAGACATTAGTTTTGTAATATTTTATTAAAATAATCACATTGGTAATATAAAACATTGTAAAGGCCATCTCACAAAACTTAACATTATAGAAACGCTTAAATTAAATTCAATTGCAATTATTTTAAATCAATATTTTGTAACAAACTTTCAATTATATAATATTTAATATGCATTTCTTAAATTTTGCTACTATATTTGGA